TTACTGTCTTAAATTTAAAATTAAAGGAACTGGACCGAGTACTCGCGGTTGTCTCGAGGTTAGTGGAGATTTACAATTTTTTGGATGGGAAAAGGGAAGAAGGAGGTTTGAAATGTGGTTTACGATACAACTATTTAATTAATCCTAAAGCATGAAATTATTTCTATTCATCTTGAAAACAAACATTGAAAAAAAAAACCCACACGTACAAAATACAAACTAAACACACGGTTAATCAAACTTACAATCTAAGGTTAATATCCTTAAATTAAACATATATGAGTTTCATAAACTCCAGATCGCGTCTAGCCAAAATATCGAGTCTGTTGATGCTGACAAATAAATAGATTACGAAAGGTAGTTTTGATACTGACCGCTCAGATATTCACAATTTCAAATGTTTTCCTATATGGCGTCCCTGCCCGTCACGCAAATAACGGTAAGGCAGAAATACTTCACCGAAGAGAGCAAACGCCTAAAACTTAAAACAAAAGTAATAGGACTACTTCCCTGATAAATTCCCATCCTGGACAACTGAGCAATGGTAGGAATATATATTGATTCCTGACAAATTCACGCTTTTCACGTTTATGAACACATAGAGCAACAATTGAGTTCCCCAAGTCATACCTAGTACTGTATATTGATACTATTACGAAGACTTCGATTTGTGTAACAGAATAATTAATATGATTTTAGTTTATAGAGCAGAGGCTCTCGAAAATGGCTTTCATGAGAAATTTAAAATAAAAATGTTCACTACAGTAATGACCCGATTTTGTCCATCCCCTCAGACTTTCATCTTTCAATAATTTTTCATAGCCGTAATTTCAAACTTTTCTCATTAATCTTCAAGACTGGTGTTTAAGGTATACTTTGGTGCAATAGGACACTTGAAAAGCGCATGGGTAATAGAGTATTTGAAAAGATGTTCAAAATCGGGTCATTATTGTATTTTAAAATTTTGCAGGTACACCCTAAATCAATTCCGAAAAAATGCACGCAAACAGGAACGTTAAAAGGTAGAGAAAATGTTTCTTCAACAAAGTTGCTTGAAATTAACTGAGCCACAACTTTGCTGAAGAACATATGTCTTTACTTCAAAAATAAGAAAGTTAGCATGTGAATAATGAGATAAGCTAGCTAAGGACTGAAAGTCTCCATAATAAATTAAATGAAACTACCACCAAAAGAAGACACTTTTAATGATGCATGTTAGTGGTCTGCCACTTATTTTAGCTCGGAAACTAAGTCCGACAGCAGTGGGCTCTCTTCTCTGTTTGCCTTGATCAAGCTTAATAACCTCTGATTGTCCTCAACATGTCGCTGTATGAAGGGCCAAAAATGGATTGGGTGGATCGATAGGCAAAGTCACCTGAAGAATCTCCTTCAAGAAACATGATCGCACAATTGGTCAAAAAGACTAGCCACCAAACAAGAAGATGCCCCAATGAGTGGGGAGCAAAGCCCATCCTTTATCCACGAAATGTTATCAACATGGAGTTGGCATTCCCACTCTCCCCGTCCAAATCGCTTCAATCGGGTGCCCTGTTAGACCCTCCCTTCCCTTTTGTATATGTATTTAAATGTATATTTATATGTTATATGTAATGATCCTTCGCTTATGTGAGTCGATTGAAATCTGCTGAAAATAAATTAGGGCTTAGTTGATTCTTAACATACAAGCGTAGATGCATAAGGGAAGGATGAGAGAAAGGATATTCAAAGGTATTGGCATGCAGAATTAGAACTGTCCATATATGAGAAAATGACTAATATGCCTTTTTTGTCAAAATCGAGAAAATCTTGTTACACGATAGGTAGAAATCTTGTCAAGGTTAGCATTAGCATTAGCATTAGCATCGAACAAGTTGCACAAAATCGTAGGTGGTACGAATTCAAAACTATTAAGAGCAAGACGGATATCTATTACTGGACAGATAGTAAGTAGGGAATCATTACTATCTCCCAGATAAAGACATATCCCGCTCCAACAGTTAAGGATTGTCCTGGCCACGTCCTTACAACTGGTAGAGATAGGTAAGGTATGTTAGTCCAACATTTACTTAAGAGAGATGCAGAGGTAGCAATCTTGTCAAGATTAGCACTGCATAAAATAAAAAAAAAATATATATGCATTTATAATTTACTTGAAAAATAAAATGGCTGATTTGCAATATAAATAAGAACTTGTCTAAGATGTATGATAAGTCTTAAACCGAGCGCAGCAACCAGTGTGCTTTTTAAAGAGATTTTCTTAAGAACAATTCTACTGGCCTTGCAGCCTAGTGGATAAAGGTGTGATTTTAGTAATGATGAGGTTCGGAGTTCTAATCCTGTTTTTTTAACTGATTTTTTTAGCACAGCTATAATATCAAATATGCAAATAATTTTGCTAAAATATGGGTCAATAATGCGTAACCATGATTGTCTGTAACTGTTTCCATGTATCTCACAGTGCGTTCTTTTTTTATCCATGAGAAGGTCCACTTCACGATTGTGGTAGCTTTTCTTATCGCTACTGTTGTTGCCCTTCGACTCCTATTCACTTTGGTGAGAGCAAGTAACGCAACGTCATTTAGTGCAGACATTTTTGACACGATAAATTAAAAAGCATGCACGTTAGCCAAAAGATCGCATCGCTTTTCAGATCTTGTTAAGCTTTGTAAATGAAGATGCGAGCGTTGAAAACTATGCTCAAATGAAAAGTGGCTATTTGTTTTCCAGTTTTTATTCAACGGCTTGATCTCGGAAAAGATGGAGAATATTATGTACACTTGAAAAGTTAAAATTATCTAGTAAAAGTTACTGTGCCGACAAAATCCATAAAGTAGCATTTCCTAGCTTTCATGTGCAAGGCACATTAGCCATTTTCTCTTTTATGGGCCGATAAGTCGTCGACATTGAATGCGCTCGTTTCCGGATGCATGTTGATTCAGTTACCTATCATTTTTTTAATATCATCTAGTTATAATTATTGTCAATAATACTTACATTTCGATGAAGATACTGCTACCTGTTTTAACATTTATGTGATACCAAACATCACAGAAGCCATCTTTGAAGCGCAGACAAGGTCCATTCACAATACACTCGGCTCAACTGTATAGTCTTCTTCTTATTATTATTATCATTCTTCTTCTTCTTATTCTTCTTCTTCTTCTTTTTTCTTCTTCTTCTTCTTCTTCTTCTTCTTCTTCTTCTTCTTCTTTTCTTCTTCTTCAGGTTCGCTCACCACCCAGAATTAACGCTCGGTGCATCATAGATTTGATATGGTTAGTAATATCAAATAGTGTTACATGCAAACGAAAAAGAGATACAACCAGGCTTACCTTTTTAAAGTATTGATGAATTCCCAACTAAACATACCATGTCTCAGTGACATTGTCTCACTCTAAACCTACATTTAAAGTTATTTACCACCAAAAGAAGAGACTTTTTAAGCACAAAAACTTTACCAAAGACACCAAAAGCCTAAATGTTTAAACAAAAATTCTAGAACTACTTTCCAGCTAAATTACCACCCTAAACCACGTCAATGAAATATGTTTATCAACAATGAATTAATTCAAAGTTATAACTAAACGTAACAGTACAAAATATGCATTTTACACATGTAGCATTTATGTATTTCTTATACTACTAATGTTAAAAACACATGTTTATTTCATAGTGAAAACATTTAAGATTCGGTTTATTTTCGATGAAGCTTGGATTTTACTAACCTCAACTTAAAATGATTTATGCGTGATTTTTTTTTGTTCTCTTTTTAGAGACTTAAATAAAAGAAAAAAAAAGAAACCATAATGTCAGTAAACAATGATTTAAATTTAAATAAACGGTTAATTCAAACATTTTCCTTCCAAATAATAATATGTTTAGAATAATGTGTGATAAATATGATCATTTATTGAAACGTGCACATATAAGGAGGGTCAAATTACAAAATATTGTTATAAGTGTTGAAATCATTAGTAAACAAAACGTTGATCTTCAAAAATTGTGTGATGAAATTTCTACTAATCACACTGCTCTTCGCTTAGGCCTTACTCGGCTAAATATCGTCAGTTCAGAAACAAAAACAATCCTAATTCGTCATTCTTCAACCGCAACTTCAATAGCATGGTATGACCAGTTTAAATGCTTTTTTTTTAAAGCTGAATTGAAAATATTTCTTAAACGTGCAGAACAAATTATGTACAATGTAAGTTTAAGTAAAGATTTCGGTTGGTAATTTTTTTTACAAGCAGTCACATAAATTTTCCACTGTGATTATTTAAATTAATTCCATGTTCCGATATTTTCGATCATATGTCTTGTTCTCGACCTGAAACATCTAGACTAACATCTTTGTACATACCCTTTGAAGTGTAATCCATTGTCAATCAACATTGGATTACTTAACGATAATATCTAGCTGATATTGACCAATCCTTAAAACTCTAGTCTTAACCAACATAAGCTATAGAACATCGGATAGAAAATAAGTAATCATATAGAAGATTATAGCTCATTATTTTCTTGCTTGAATATCCTCCTCTGTGGATGTGACCCGAGTTTTGTCACTATCGAGAAGGCTTTACACGCAACAAGAATTTTTGAAGTATTCTGCCATGTCTCCTACCAACTTAATTAGCACCATTAGCACCAGCAAACAATCAAGTAACAAGCACTACTTATTTTAATTAAATAATCTATTCATTCTAAATATATTTGGTCTTCAATAGGTATTAATTTTGTACACAAGATTTTTTTTTTTTTTTTGAGACTAAATCCGTTATAGCACATGTCAAAACAGCTATTTACGCCTTCTTACGCCAGAATGAACCAAACTGAGCATCACAATGAACAACGATCTCTCGCAGCATCCGCCGTGGGGTGAACCAACCATGCTCACCGACGACGAGCACGCGAGAAGCGTATATATGGAAAGCTTTTTTACTCGCACCGCTCCATTCGCCGCGCAACGGTAGATAAACCAACATCACTCGTTTCGTAGAGCTTCGGGTTTGATCCTTTCGCCGTGAATAATACGGTAGCCGGTATTTCAACAACACTCAGATCCGGTCGCGAGCTAGTTTTTCGATTGATACCGATCGATAATGGTGTTGATTAAGAGTGTAAGGTTTTAGGTGAGGTGATTGTGCTAATAGAATGTGATTGCTCGCGTGCATTGCCCTGGAGGCACTTAAAACGGCGCAGTGAGTGCGAAAGATTCAATCTAATACCGGGATCGAGTACCCTTATTTACCTGCAGGGGAAGAAAAAGTTTTGTCTTGTTCAGTGCAAATATTAGCACGAATCGGCTGTGTTTGAACGGTGAATGTAGCACGCCAACGGCATTGGAACCACGTGAAAAATAATGCAATTCAATGCGGATGTTGTGATTAATAACAGTTTTTAGAACAATTTTGTTGCTCGTTATAATGCTGATCAAACGAACAGTGGATTGAATAATTAAGATGTTTTGCCCATCGAACAGTCGTCATCTGGTAGGGTGCATCAACGGTTTATAGAAGGTGTATCGGTGTGAGATTTTTGTTGTATTAGATAGTGCTTGTTAGTCGATACTCTAACTGTAGGACAATCGTGTAGTTTCCGATAGTAAAATCGTGTGATAATTTGAATGTTTTGTTTATGATGTTGACCTTTAAAAAAAACTATATGCATTGGTGAAGCAATTTGAAAATGTCCTGTGTGTTTGAATCTATGGAAAGCTATTTATTTAGTCTTCATATTATGAGAGACTTCAATGCAAAACAAGCGATGAACGTTTTACAATTTTTGTGAAATGTTTTCAAATCTATACCACGACATCCGACTTGAATATTTCTGGATATTCTCACTACTTTTACAACAAAAGTTCTTAAATTTATATGAAAAAGCAACACTTTAATCAATCTCTATCAAAGGTGTGCTAATATTGCAATGAAAACTATACAACAGACTTTCCAGCACGACTCAAGCTACACCAAATCCAGGCATCTATATCAATACAGCTGATCAGTCTCTCGTAATGACCGGGCAATAAAATTCACTATCATCTTCTTTTGCTATCTCACCGTGACCTTACCGGCGGCTATTTAACAGCTCTCTATGACTACCGACAAAAACTGCCGTGCTGACGTCCTTAGCTGGCGCTTCTTAAGAGTTCAAACACAATCATTCGATCGCTTGTAATTGCTGCATAAACAAGTTCCACTGGCTCGTTAAATCAAGTAAACAAAAAACGTGACCGTTACCATACCGTTCGGTGAGATGAGAAGACTCACCCTCCTTCTCCCACGTCCATGCTCGATCCTAGATGAGATCGTTCGCTTATATTCGCTACCTTCCCACTTCAACCGGCCAACCTTGACATATTGAGACGGCAGTTCCGCAAATCAACCTTTTGCTTCCCAATCCCACCGACACAATTTGAACCTCTCACGGGGTAAAACATTTAAGAACATTTACTGTGCAAAAACAACTGTTTTGATTCTCTCAAAACAAATCAATCATGTTGAGTTAATTACCTGCGCGAGCAATCACATTCGACGCTCCACGTGTCGGCAAAGCTGCTGTACCTTAGCTCGTTAGTGCGTGAAGATTCTCACAAGCAGCGCGTGCTAATTGCAGTGTATCATCCTACTCCAATCAACAGCTACAACGGCTCTTCAACAATCACAACAAACTCATCCACGCCGCCAAAGGAAGCAACTGTAGTGAAAACAACAAAACATTCTCAAACAAAATAAGTGCAACCCCCTGTCGTAAATCATGTCCAGCGAATAATTAAACCGTGATCTGCAACAAAAGCGTATGTTATCTCGAAAGCTTGATCGCATTTGCATGTCTAGTAGCCCTTGGAAAGTAGCTAATTATAGAACACGAAAGAATTTATAGCTACGCACGGCTGTAACCATATGATTATGAGAAAAATGTCTGATTATGCGGCACTATCCGCACCGTTGCCTCCGCCAACAACAATAGCAACAACAACGGTTCTACAAAATAAACAACACGATCGGATTCCGTTTAAACGGTTCGCTGAAAATAGCTACTGGAACAGCAGGTCAAACACCTTAGGACGACGAGAGCGTTGTGAGAAACCGCGAAGGCATCGATCACGTATCAATCGATCGAGCTGGACGACGATCGGTGCTAGCGGTTTAAGGGGAAATCTGCTCGTATTAGTCACGGCGGCTACCGCCGCTGCCTTGACCGTGCTGGCTTCGGGTAAGTGACAATAATTAAGATCTCTGTTATGTAATAAGTTTGTGAATATGAGTAGAGGGGTTAGGGAAATCATACAGATTCCAAGATTTGCTTGGATTTATCATTAAATATTGCAAGTTTTAAAGACACCCCAGGATGCTAATGACCAGATTGGCCACAACCTGGAGTGGCACCCTTGGGTGTGGCTACAGACACACATATGTTTTAGGTATCTTCATGGAAGTGACCAAAGTTTATTAGAATACACATGCTCCACACAACGCAGTCAACTCCAAATCAGATTCTGATCAACCTCCCAAAATTTTGTAACTTTGATGTTTACATGAGAATTACTATGAGAAAAGTGAACGTTTTGGTATATCCTCCTAGCATTTTGTTGTATTGCTCAACAGGTGAGGGTCTATCAAGTTTTTTTTCAGGTATTCTTATTCTTCATCTTACTGGCTTTGACACTCTTAGGCAAGCTTACGCCTGCTCTCAACTCTCTTTGAAGCATTTCCACAATTATTAATTGAGAATGTCCTGTGCCATCCAATACTACTTGAATTTTTTTAACATCAACACGCTCAATGCAGCGTCGCCGGTTTTGTAGTGATAAGTGTGATTATCTATCTGTATCGTTGGTTGCTTTACGTGTTTGGATTTGCTGATAATAACAAACTGAGGATCTTTTCAAATTGATCAATTTGCAAATTGATGATCACGGAAACTTTATTATCATGACAAAATTTATGAGCTTGAAAAATTAAGGATCGAAACAAATTTATTATCAAGGCAAATCAATTAGCATGGCAAATTGGTGATAACTGTAAATTAATGATAATTACAAAATGATGATCATAGAAAAACGCTAGGGGAAGAGCCTGGCCTAGTTGTTAGTATCCATGCCTTTCACACTAAAAGTTTCGAGTTCAAATCTCATCCCCAGGCATGTCACAAATGAATTAAAGCTAAAAAAATGTTAAAGTGATTATAAAAATAAAAAAAGCAATCAAATTGATTAATGATTACATTAAAAAAATTATTTAGTTAAATTTAAGATCCTGACAAATTGATGAACATATCAAATTAATGATGATAGCTAATTGATGATCACAGGATATTAATGATGTGCCTCAGATAGCCTGGTCATTATTAGTCACGGTATTACCAAGCCGGAGCTGGCCGGTTCGATTCCTCGTCTGGTTGAGTAAATCTTTCAGGATGAAAATTTTATCGATTTCCCTGGGCATAGAGTATAATTTTACTTGTCACAAAATATACAAAATCTTGCATGTGTTGGCATAGAAAGCTTTCAATTAACAGCTGAGGAAGTTCATCTACTACAGTACGTGGATAGCCGGCAATACGCTCGCTACAGTTGCGTAAAATGCACAGAATAAGAAGAAGAAGAAGAAGAAGAAATAATGACCCTGGAAATTTGAGAATTTTTTCAAGATAAAGATAATGACAAATTAAGCACGGTTTCCCTGGCAAATAAATGATCATGGAAAATTGATAATGAGGCATTGATGACGTACCATTTGTAGCTGCTTCTCCGCGATTGACCTTATCCAAAGAAATTTGCGCAAATAACCAAATTAATGGGACGCTTGACAACCCAAGTAACCAAAAGTTCCGCATTCAACGATTAAAATCACTTCCAAGTTCCGTAAAGTTCAAATAAAGTTCCGACCGAACCTTCAAGTTCCATAAAATTCAAATAAAGTTCCGACAGAACTTTCAAGTTCCATAAAGTTCGAATAAATTCCCGACAGAACTTTAAAGTTCCATACAGTTCGAATAAAGTTCCGGAAGAACTTTCAAGTTCTATAAAGTTCAAATAAATTTCCGACAGAACTTTCAAGTTCTATAAAGTTCAAATAAAGTTCCGACAGAACTTTCAATCCAAATGAAGCAATCCGCACAAGTCTTTATTAGTAACAAAATTTAATGTTGTGTTTCGTATTCAAGTCAGTCAGCTGGCACTGAAAACTCCAACAGTAGGTGAGACAACAATTCACTTTATTATATCTCAGATGACGCAGCGGTTCGTGCTGGGGCTCTCACGCTGAAAAGAACTGGGTTAAATTCTTCAAACAGCTCCCAATTCTACTACTAATGCTGATAAATCAAAACACATTAATACCTGCCTTTAGAAATAACTTTCATAAAAGTGCGAACTCTAAATATGGATTTTTGGTGTAGAGGACAAAAACCATTTTTAATTTTTTTTTTCTAAAAGTTCCGTTCAAGTTCCGCCAGAAGCTGCTTAGAATGCTCTTCAATTATGATACCGAAACTTTCAAGTTCTTATGACGACTTAAAAATGAGGCTGCTTAGAATTCTATAGACCACCCCCAACCAAGCTGCTTAAGCCACAAATAGCCTTTTATCAGAACTTTTAGTTACTTGGGAATTTATTCGTAGTGTGCTGTGAGGCAGTACTTTCAAGATAAACAATGACACCAGCCACACATCCTTATCGTTATCGGGGAGAGGAAGGACTGTTATTTCAATATTCGTTTTTACTGAAGATCGAGTATAACTTTGCATCTCCACTAAAGGATGATTTTTTTAGTGGGAAGGTTACATTAGATCTGAATTCACTTTGGAAAGAGATGTGGTCTTTTCAAGCCTAAATATCAAATAAAGCAACCATATCGCCTCAGTACTGCAAAGCCTTGGAAAGAACCCTGGTCTTGCGCTTCGTAAGAAAAATCGGCCACCATTAGACACCAAGACGTATACATCACAGTAAACCACTGTTACCATCTTTAATCCCAGTGACAAAAAGCTATAAAAATGGCGTCCGCGGTAAACATTTTACCGAGAATATGACTTGTTTACACACAGTTCCAACCGTGTTTTTTAGTACCAATATTCTACAGTAAAACAAAAACTTTATTAATAGGAAGAAGACTCTTTCCGAAAGAGCTTGAGATTCAACCCACGATCGCAATCGATTTCATAAATAATGTGGTCACCAAGTCTGTAAGTGGTCATGTTTAGAAAGGCGTGAATTTTTCATAGAATTCTGACATGGAGCTTCAATATTGTAAGGTCTTGGAAGCACTGAATAATGCTGATATAGGCTTGTAAGCACTCGCAGTGCAGAAAAGAAGTTGATTTATGGTTCTTTTTCTTCTTCTTTGTCACATTTCAAGCTTAATGATTATCGCATTTTTGCTTATTGTATGCTCTCAACTTTCAACCCGAAAAATTCCTAGACCGGACCGGGAATCGAACCCAACCACCTCCTTCAGCATGGCCTTGCTTAGAAGCTGCGCCTTTAGCGACTGAGCTAAGGGAGGTCCAAATTGTAAGGAAGGCTCTGCAGTAATGTAAATGGATACGTGGGAACATCAATGCATCGAAGCGATCCGATATGAATACTCCGAAACCCGATTTGAAACTGAGGAACTGTATGACGTTTGAATGAATCAAAGTCCACTAGATCACACCAAGGCTTGCAACGAGGTACTTCATAATTAGGATCAAAAATCATTTAGTTGAACCAATTTCTACACTCATGATCGACTGATTTAACGTTCAGCGATGATGAATTATCAATTTAAATAAACCGAATCGAAGTCTTACTCGTACAGTTCATTCAAAATCTATATAATGTCATGTAAATCGATGATCATCCACGATAACACTAAGCCCCATACCATCAGCAAAAAAAACACAAAATCATCCAGATGACCAGGATATAGCCTTCCAGATTGCATCATAATTAAATGACATAAATCTCAGCTACCATTCACAAGAAATATCAAACAGCCGTCAAATCCAATAATCGGTCGACATATTCTGATTTATCACAGTATTGATTTAACATTTTGTCTTCCACGGCCTGCCTCAACCGATCGTTCCTCTTGCAAGCGTATGGGATCATCGTTGAATTAAGCGGGAAAGGCACATAAAAGATAACGACTTGTTAAGTCCGGGATTATACCATAAATAAAATTCTCACCATTATCGGGCCGAGAAACGAATAATCGTAAAAGCGAGAAAGGAAACAGTCACAGATACTTTAGTTAGTAGCCGTTAGCTCTCGGATCTCCTAGAAGATAGTCAGCTTGATGTGGAAGAAAATGACGAATAATGTGCGAATTCTATATTTGACATTTTACAGAACGAAAGCTGCAAATGTCTGGACGAGTTGTTTTCAAGATGTTACGTAGTGAAGTGACCCAGTTTGGTGAGTTGGAGTTGGAGTCAGCTTTCGCACTGTTTTTCTTACAATTTGCACTTAATGTTTGCTCATTTGCACCTTTCGTAACAAGCGTTAATTATTTATTTTTAAGATATTTTTGTAGTCAAGGATATAAAATATCAGTTTGTTACAATCTTATTTACTTACAGGAGCCACAGCAGTTCAACTGAAATGTACTCATCATGATGAATTATGGTATGCAAGTCCTGCAAGCAAGTGTTCTTTGTACTACCGATGCCATCAAGGGGAACCGATCCGTTACAAGTGTAACGAGAAATCAGTTTTTGATTTCTACCAACAAAAATGCGTTCGTAGCGAAGGTAATAATCTATCTCAGCGAATTTTCAACAGATCTAATTTTAAAACTTCAACATTATCATCTTTCAGGTACCTGCTACGAACCGGTATGCACAGGTAAAACGAACGGTTTGTACGCTGATACGACTCAGGCCTGTCGGAGGTCGTATGAATGCCGAGGAGGTAAACTTATTGCGATGGACAACTGCCCACGGGGTCACCTGTTCGATGGCAACAAGTGTGTACCCCAACATGAGGTCAATTGTGAAAGTCCTAAAAATTCCGCTATTGCTTTTCCCTTCAGTGGAGATGACCGGTGCTACGGGCGGCAGAATGGGAATCATATCATCGATGATGACCAGTGTAAGAAGTTTATGATATGTCATGATAACAACGTGATTCATGTGCTAGAGTGTCCTTTCGGGTACGTGTACAACGAGGTCACTAGGAGATGTACATTCACAGGGGGTATTGGATCGCCCGGCTGTGTGAGCAACTTCATGGACGAAGGGGACGACGCATGTTCAAGGCTTCCCGATGGAGCTCATCTGGATCCAACATCGAAAACTTGCAAGAAATATATCGAATGTATGGATGGAAGGCTTTCGTCTAAGCATGAATGTCCTCGAGCAACTTTGTTCAATGGAATTCAGTGCGTTCCCGATGTCTTGTACCATTGTCCAAGACTTGCTCTTCCAGGAGATATTTGCGATAAGAAACGAGATGGATTCTACATTGACCCGAGAAAGGGCTGTTCTTACTATGTTCGCTGCGAAAATCAGCAGACTCTCGAGAACCATTCATGTCCTTCAGGCTTCTATTACAACCCGTCGGAAAACATGTGCATAGAACAATACAGTGGTGACATCTGTCTCGAATCTGGCTATTCCAGCGATTGCATTCAGCGCTCAGCTGGGTACTATCAAGACATCTCAGAACAATCAAAATGTTCACAGTACTTTTACTGCTTCAATGGAAACAAAACCACATTCCGATGCAGTTCAGGTGAAGTTTTCGATGGAGAAAACTGCATTAGCTATATGCTGTATTCGTGTCCAAGCGCAAACTCCAACTCATGCTTGAGAAAATCAAACGGTTACTATCGAGATCCAACCGGAGGCTGCCGCTCGTATTTCTACTGTTTGGAGGGAACCAAAACTTCCTACGTCTGCAACCCAGGTCAAATATTCAGGAACGGCCATTGTGTCGATCGCCTTGAAGATGCATCCTGCCAGGATGACCTCGTCTGTGCAGGTAAATCAGACGGATACTATCAAGATCACCAGTCCAACTGTCGAAACTACTTCTACTGTCAAGGCGGAGAAAAGCTTCAGACGCTTACCTGCCGAGGAAGCAAAATCTTCAACGGGAACAGTTGCGTTTCGCAAGGTTCATACATCTGTCCACGAGAGGGAACCGGAGCCAATCCGTTGTTGAACTGTCTTCCTCGATCTTGCACGTCAGACTGCTCAAGCAATGGATTTCAAAATGACTACGACAGCGATTGTGAACATTATTTCTTCTGCATAGATGGCAAAAAGACGATCCTATCCTGCTCGAACAACTATGTTTTCAATGGCGAAATTTGCGTTCCTAGAGATACATACAACTGTCCAAAGTACTGCGAAGCTCCGGTTTCCTGCAGCTGATTGAAAGAGCCGGTTTGAGGAAAGATTCTATACCTGCAGCAAAAATAGGGGAGGTCTGCCCGATGGATGCATCTGACTAGTTTCTAGTATTTATTTGCTTATATAGAAGTACGTAGAATAGAAACAAAAACCGTTACAATTTACAACAATACCGTCTCTCGCCTGTGCCAACAAAGTAGTGATGTTTACCTGGCTGCTTGGGTACGCATTTTGCTTTAAATAATTACGAGCCCATACCAAGCAGTCTGCGAAACTAATTACATACACGTAATGACGATTTTACTGTCAGCAACATATTTTGAATGTTTCATCACATACACTGGTGTTCTCGAATGAAAATAATTCGAAGCTCGATAAAAAAAAACTAAACATTCAATAAATTCACAAATAAACCGCTGGGTTCAAACAAAATGCATTTACAATACTCATAGCAGTAAGTTCTAAAAACTAAGTCTAAGATACGTAAGAGAAAGGTAATCTCGCCGGGAAGCAAAATGAGTATCGTTAACTCATTGAAGATAAGTACGTTTGAACTCAAACAACCATTCTGTAATCTTCTTAGGCCTCTTTCAAATATTACCTGACGCTAAAAATTGCGTTTTTACATACGAGAGGTATGTAAAAGTGCCATATTTGCGTTACTTAATATTTGAACGGGCTCTTAATGAAAGTTTAGCATTGTAAACTAACTTATTTAATAAAGATTTGCATCAAAATAGCTGGGTCAATTATGAAATGTATCACACATCCACGGTATTGTCACATTTACACCTATTTAGACTTGCCCGAATCACAGACAAATTTTGCAAGTTGATTTCACAATGTCAAATGTATGCAAGCAAAGTTCTTTTTGTATATGGTTGGTTCAAATATTCGCTCAAATAGTCAAGTGTAGCACCCTACATGAAAAAGTGGCCTTATTGAGCGTCAAATTTTTACTGTGATTATTGTCAAGTTTTGGCAAATTTCGCAGCAAAATGATGACTGACACTCTATGTAATTATCCTTTTAATTCCGGTAAACATATGTACCTATATACGCGTAAAGTCCCTGGCCCAGACCTCAAAAAGTGGATTTTTTGCATCACTTGAGAAGCCTGGAATAGGGACTGCATTAACTCTTGCGACCTCTTCATCAGGAAAATCAAAGAAGACACGGGCAAATGGGAGTATCCAGCAGACTATCGCTCTCAAATTGTCCTATCCCGCCTAAGACCTGGCCACACTCGCCTTTCCCACAACCATAGTGGAAACGGTGATCTCCACAATACCTGCTCCCTATGCCACATTCATCACTCTGTTGAGCATTTCCTATGTCGTTGCCCCCAGGGAGCAAGAGAGCTTTACGGGATTCCAAGCAGTGTAAAAGAAGCACTCAGCAATGACGCAAGCCTCCGAGGTTTTCTTTAAGAGGCAGAACTCTTCCACCTAGTATGATTACTACCACTTCGGTGATCGCTGATGGCAGCGAACCCGTCACTGAAGCCTGTTACCGGTGGAACCCTCCTCTTCATCATGGACTGACCATCCGCACCATCACCCAGATTACCGACCCTAAACTGACCAATGATTCAACCAAGACCCATGCGCACCATAATCCGGACTACTGACCCCAGCAGACCTACGGGACAAGCAGACCCAACCGCAAACAACCATTGACCCTCCCTGACAGCAAACTAGACAGCATATACAACACTCTGTTTTAACCAACTCTATATTAGGGGGACCCCCTTCTGGGGCCCTATCCTCTTTCCCGGAGACCCCCTCGAAGATCCCCAGAGACGAACAAGCCAATGACTGAAAGTATCTTCAATAAAATAACCTAACCAAACCTATCCCAGAAGTCTAAACATTCATGAAAAGCACAATATTGTTTGTATTTTATGTACACAAATCTTTAGTTGGGGAACGACTGTGACTCGATTTGATTTTAAGGATACAGGTTTTTCGAACTAACGATGGATCAAACCAAGAGAAAATTTAAAAGTCTCCCATAGTAATTCGCCAAAATATCCATACAAGCCATAAACTCCTATTGCGCGACCCCTTAACCTTCATCAATCTTAAATTTTTTTAAGTTAAGAATCGAACTGGAGGTTATTTCCAAAATTATGCACCCCTATGGCAATGACTAATTTCTTGTAAATTTCATAATATTTAAGTGCGAAAAATGAAATACCTAAAGTAAAAAACGTACCAAACGTGATCTACAATGTTGTTCTTTTGCCATATGAAGTTAAATAAGTGTATTAAGCTCCGTAAACCATGTTGCTTAGCAGCAGTATTAGTTATGATTTAGAAAATCTGATTCCCTCCCATCAATCAAGTGGTATAGAGGGGAATCTGAGATCTCGAGCTTGAAACTTGCTGTGGAAATTTTGTTGATCATAACTTCATGTTTGAATGTATGCATACATGCAGGCAAACATTGAAAATCGTTGTCATTATTGCAAATTTACCTATAGCCTGCCAATTTTCTTTAATTTACGATCCATCTGCGAATATGCAATCAAATCTTATATATTTCCTTTTTTAGGTAGCTGTTAAGCTGTTTCAGTGTTCTGCAACGAATACGTTGGCCTTCTGACAAATACTCTCAACCTTCGCTAACTCAGTGGTTTTCCCTTTTCAAAAATTGCTCACAACCGTTCTCCCTATCAACAAAACAGTTAGATAGTTAAATATAAGACAAATTAGACTAACACGGGTAACAATGCATATTTGTATGCACTGTCGTAAAGGTACTAGAGCCCGTTTAGTTGTTATCAAGTTTACGCATTTTCAAAGAGAAACCTGCGCCAGAACACTTTCAGCTTTGGAACTTCGCGCACCGCATGTCATGTTCGACGTCTAGTGTAGTAAACTCTTTCGTTTTAATTTGCAACAATTCAGAAAATTTACAACCGTACATAAATCTTGATACGAATGGCTACAGCACTCTACAATATTACCAAATACCAAGTCCAAGGGAGGCGTCTCTAGCTAAGATTTAGGGACGATTTTGTTTTGCTGTCGATGGAGGATGAAGAACGGAGAGCAGATGGATTTAGAAACAAGAAATGACAGAAGACTTTTCGTAGATTGATTTGCTAGCGTAGGATTTTTAGAGCATATAGATTGCTGATTCGTAATCTATGGAAGAATGGGATACTATTGGGCTGAATCCAATATACCATCAACAAGTGATCAACATTTTCTACTAAAAACTTAAAATAACATGTTGTATTTTCTTATGCACAATTATCTCCTCTCACATCCAGTTTGCTCAAGTCCGCCTTTTGGCGGGGTAAATTTAAAAATCAAGGACAACAAATGTCGAATTATTTAATAAATGTTGTGCTAAGGGTCGGAAAGTTACACTATTTTTCTATCATGAGAAATCAATTTCAAAACCATTCTGTTAAGTTATTTAAAAAAATGTTTTCGAAGATTTTAATAGAAAAAAGGGCAATTGAGGGTTAACAATTCATTTAACATGATCAATAAAGTGGCTCCGGTGGTGTAGTGGTAAGCGTGATTACCTCTCACCCCAACAGGCCTGATGCGCCGCCGGTATGTTCTGAGGCATAACATACTGATCACGCCTTCCTTCGGAAGGGAAGTAAAACCGTTGGTCCCCGGTTCATGCGTTGATGGATCGATAGGCAGGGTCAAAGTGTGGGAGCTGCCTCCCCGGCGTCGGTAGCATTGCTTCTCAGCATGGAAAACAAGATCGACGGAGAACAAATCAAGGAAAAAAATATACGATCAATTATGATTTGTGTTGAAGGAAGATTCTTTATGCAACATATGATATTGAAACAGTTGACTACAAGAAGCCATATTTCATCATTTCACTTATAGTAATAAGCTGCTAGAATGTTACGCCAATTGGCTCACTTCCTTGATATTCGGTTTAAAGCAACCGACAAACGCAGGTAGTGAAAATAATATGGCAAAAATAATAACTCATGCGGCCAATTAGCACTAATGACACTTTCTACTGATTAATAATGAATTGATACATAACGAAAATAATGTTACCTGTCGATTGGAGAAATATTCTAGGGAACTTGTGTTCGACTACCCGTTGGGTTGCTTTATTTTACCGCTTAAACTACAAACCAAATCGACAAGGTAACCCCTAGCAGGATGCATCAATCTGTTTGTGCACAGAGCTCAAGCAAGTCAGACAGTCGATATCGAAAGTTTCCACCATGTGGAATAAATTGTTAGTGACGGGATGTATCATCCTGATGGTTGCTGGTAGCAGTGTAGACAGCGAAAAAGGTATGATAAAAATATATATTAAGGTTCAATTTACTTTGATGCATTTTCGAAAAATGCAAATGCAGAGCTTTTTGCAATCTGAAAAGATGCCTCAAAAAAAACTGCATTTGAATTTTTCGAAAATGCATCAAAGTAAATTGAACCTTAATGAATAAGTCAACAAGTCCCTCTGACTAAAGGGGTATGCACATAAAAGCAACTTGTATTCTCTGATATGTCTATGGCAATCAATGCCAATTACCTTATGCAATTTAAGTTTGTCAGCCAGCCTCATTTAAGTTTGAAAATCAGACAGAATTTACTTCAAGCATAAGTTTTAGCAAATTATGATGGTTTTGGATGCATCCATTTGGTTTAACAGCTACCTTTGCTGAATAAGTGAAATTTTTACCAACTAAAACGTGTTTCTGGATTTCAGAGAAAAAAGATGATACCCATCAAAATGAGCAGGAACATACAACAGACACAGCCAAGGAAGCAAAATCCATCAAACAGAAACGTTCAGCAGGGGGGTATTACTACTATCCTAAGTATGACTACGTTCCAGAGCCCGATTATTATCCACAACACGAATACGAATCCTGCGAGGATCACGAGGACCACGAGCATCATGAGCCCAACAAGCACCACGAACACCACGAGCCCTATAAGCACCATGAGCACTACGAGCACCCCAAAAAGCACAAACCTAACGAGCTTCACGAACACTACGAACACCACGAGCCCACCAAGCACCATGAGCCCAACAAGCACCACGAGCACCACGAGCCCTACGAGCACCACGAGCCCCACGAGCACCATGAGCACTACGAGCATGATGAGCACCACAAGCCTGACGAACACCATGAGCACTATGAGCATTATTATACGACGACTACAACTGCAGCGCCTTTCAAGCTGAAACCGCTTAAAAAACCTCTGCTCGATCTGTTAGCTCCTCCACCAACTACCACAAC